GACAGACAGACAGACCGACAGACAGACAGACCGACAGACAGACAGACACAGGTGAATTTCGGTTTCTGGGCCCTAGCCTTTCAGTCTAGGGAATAACGAATTAAATCAACATTTGAATCGTTTTCAACGTGTTATAGGACAAAGATCACAAGTTCAATCTGTTGATTTATCGATCATTTTAAAAGCATTTGTTCGTAAAGGACAACATAAATTAAATGCTGAATTTCAATGTAAAAAAACGATTGCTTCAATTTGACTGTCAAGATCATCGATTGACAAAAGCATTCTTGGATTTAAAACCAACGAAACGACAGGTATAATACATATAGTAAATATATTTTCTTCAAAATATATGATCATGTCGTGTGTTCTCTATCCTTGCCTAGATTCACTCGGCTAAAAAGATTTGGTTAGCCATGAAACAACAGATATCTGAAGAGCAAGCGACAATATTGAAATATCGATTATCTTGCAAAGCATTACCGAAAACATTCGATGTATTGGATCGTTCATTTGATGATCTCGATCAATACTTACTATGCCAGCAGAAAGTCATTGATGAAGACATACGAACGACAATTACAAATCGGCGTAGTAAAACTATTGGACAATTCAAATTAGACATGATGGCTATTCACATTTCAACAGCTGGAGCAACAGCTCGTGGTCATGCAAAGATAGCCAAAGAAGAAAAAGAAAAGCTGCTGCTGTTATTATCATCGGAAAATGCTGGTGCGGCGGCGAATGTGATAAGTGCCATACAAGCTCGTCAAGAAAATATCATTAAACGAGTACAATATGTGACAAATTGTAAAATATCTTTTTTCGACGAAACTCCGGCGATGCTTATCGAATAATCTGGCAGCATCGTCGGAGTACTGCAACAAAAACAATTACAGCCAGTCACATTGATGATATGAATAGTCTACTTCCATCTTCAGCTATTATAGAAGTAGCAACACCATTCACAAACAAGCAAATATTGTTTTTGACACGCGGATCAAAATATGTACCGAAATGTCAAAGTCAATTTGGATCTGGTGGTGCTATTGAAGATATTATTGAACGAGAATATCTTAGGATGTCACCAATTATACGAGATTGTTTAACAGCTAATTGTGTATCAGCATCAGATGAACGAGCAAAGATATTTTTCATATCATTAAAAAATCTTCTTACTCAACTCTATACAGCAAAGTTACCTTGTCAATTGTTTCGTCGTGCTCAACAAGAATATTTATTGACAAAAACCATTAAACATCAGTTATATTCGACATTTAATCATATTGTTTTACGACGAACTGATAAGAGTAAAGTCTTTCATCTTGGATCCAAGAATGATTACCAGCAGAAAGCGATTATGAACATGAGAAAAACTTGTGCTTATGAAGAAGTGATTAATGAAAAATGTCCATTAGCCGATAACATATCTCCAGTAATCAAATTACTTAATAAATTATTGCAAAATAAAGCTATTAATTATAAACAATGGTCAGTAGTGTTTTGCGTGACTGACATTTTTGGTCACGATCACGATCACGTTCACGAAAAAAGTTTCTAGTCACGAACGATCACGATCACGAGCACAAAAAAAGTTTCTAATCACGCACGATCACGATTACGACGACGGAAAAAGTTCTCAATCACGCACGATCACGATCACGACGACGGAAAAAATTCTCAATCACGCACGATCACGCGTGATCGTGACCGTGATCGTGATCG